GAGTTTTGCTCTTTTTACCCAGGCTGGAGTGCAATGGCACAATCTCGGCTCACTGCAACCTCCGCCTCCTGGGTTCAGGCAATTCTCCTGCCTCAGCATCCTGAGTAGCTGGGATTACAGACACGCGCCACCATGCCCAGCTAATTTTTTGTATTTTTAGTAGAGATGGGGTTTCACCATGTTGGCCAGGATGGTCTCAATCTCTTGACCTCGTGATCCACCCGCCTCAGCCTCCCAAAGTACTGGGATTACAGGCTTGAGCCACCGCGCCCGGCCTGGGTAAACTTTTCAATACTAGTAACTAGTGTTTATTGAGACCTTACTGCATGCCAGGCACTGAGCTAAACACTCCACATTTAATCCTCCTAACAACCCTATGAGGTGAAAGTAAACACCAACAATACAAAGGAACCCCAACAAACACTACAGATTTAAAAGCTGCAGATAGCAGGTAACCCTCCCTCCCTGACTCCTTTCTCTGTCTCCCCCAGTCCCACCCTACCCACCCTCTTCCGACCTTTCTCTCTCCCCGTTTCATATTTCTGGAAAAGTAAAGAAGAATGGTCAAAAAGAAGGGAACAGGGAAAAGAAAAGAAACTGAAATAAAACAGATGGGACAAGAGGAGAAGCGGGGGAGGTGATCAAAGGAGAAATGAAGAACGCATTGAGCGGAGCTGGTGAGGTACCATATGCCTCCAGTAAATTCTTATTTTGAATACAAAACCTTGCATGGGACTCTTGAAGAGGGCTCAGTCTTTAGGGTGGATCTGAGAAGGGCAGAGGGGCCTAGTCCTGCTTCCTCATTCTGTTCAAGGTCAGCCTTGACACACACTCATCCCGTGTGGCATGAACACCAGCTACAGACTGCTTCCATGAAAACCAGTGTTTAGGATCTGATATTACCATCTGTGCGGGGCAGCCTAGAGTCATGCATTTCCTCCTGTCAGGAGCCCTCTCTAGCCATTGGATTTCTGTGATGTCCGCCAGCAGGCTTTGGCTCAGTGTTAATGACTTTGTTCCCTTTGAATTCCTGTGAGATTTTATTCCTTTTGGTGCCCAGGGGTTATGTGCCACAGTGATTTCTGCCAGTAACACTTCTGCTGTGATAAAAAGAAACTGCGGGGAAGGCCTGCTGCTTGTCCTCTGCTGGATGCTGCTACCCAACACAATTACTCATACTCGCATTCAGAGAATGCGAGAGAGTGATTGTTCAGGACCTCGGTCCTGAGGCTTTAGTGTCTAATAAACCAAGAACACAAAGCCATGCATGAAGCGTGCATCATCACTACCTGGAAAAAGCACCTTCTGGCTAGAGCCAAATGGACTCACCATGTCTGGATAGACAAAAAAATGTTATGCTCAGCCACCCAGCTCTCTCTTCTTCCCAATTACAAGACGGACCAATCACGTTACTGCTAGACACCAGCATTGTTGCTGATGCTATCATTTCAATTATGTTTTGAACTAGGGTTTTGTTGGCTGGCTTGCTTCCCCCTCCCATCTCCCTCTCCAATAAAGGAAGAAGCCAAGGTAGGAAAATACCTGCTTGAATTGTTCATGAAATGTTAAAATTTCTACTTTACCATGGAAAGCCAGATTTTAGACACTATTACTTATGCTGGCTCAGAAACTCAAATTTTAACCTTTCTGACCCCAAAGAAATCACAGAAGTATCCCCTTTGCTTCTGTATCTTCCACCCATGTGTCAATGACACTCTGCATGTAAGTCCTTGTAGCGCTTTGGGCCTGAGAAGGCACAGGAAGAAACTTCAGGCTGATCTCTCTCAGCAAACTAACACAGGAACAGAAAACCAAACACAGCATGTTCTCCCTCGTAAGTGGGAGTTGAACAATGAGAACACATGGACACAGGGTGGGGAACATCGCACACTGGGGCCTGTTGGCGGGTGGGGGGCAAGGGAAGGGAGAGCATTAGGTCAAATGCCTAATGCATGAGGGGCTTAAAACCTAGATGATGGGTTGATAGGTGCAGCAAACCACCATGGCACATGTATACCTATGTAACAAATCTGCACGTTCAGCACATGTATCATAGAACTTAAAAAAAAAGTGACCAGAAACAAATATTTCTTCTTTTTTTTTTTTTGAGACAGAGTCTCACTCTGTCCCCAGGCTGGAGTGCAGTGGCACAATCTCAGCTCACTGCAACCTCTGCCTCCTGGATTCAAGCAATTCTCACTCAGCCTTCTGAGTAGCTAGGACTACAGGCACATTCTACCACATCCAGCTAATTTTTTTTTTTTTTTTGTATTTTTAGTAGAGACAGGGTTTCACCATGTTGGCCAGGATGATCTTGATCTCTTGACCTCATGATCCACCTGCCTTGGCCTCCCAAAGTGCTGGGATTACAGGGGTGAATATTTCTTAAAATAAAAAAAAAAAAATTTTTTTTTAACTTCAGGCTGGAACACCAAAATCAGATTCCTGATCCAGCCTTTGAAATCACCCCAGGCCAGGCTCAGAGGCTCACACCTCTAATCCAAGCACTTTGGGAGGCCAAGGTGGGTGGATTACTTGAGGTCAGGAGTTCTAGACCAGTGTGGTCAATGTAGCAAAACCCTGTCTCTATTAAAAATTCAAAAATGAGCAGGCATGGTGGTGCACACCTGTAGTCCCAGCTACTTGGGAGGGTAAGGCAGGAGAATCACTTGAACCCGGAAAGCAGAGGTTGCAGTGAGCCAAGATCGCACCGCTGCACTCCAGCCTAGGTGACAGAGCAAGACTCTGTCTCGAAAAGGAAAAGAAAAAAGAAAATAAAAGGAAAGGAACCACCCGAAAAAGTCTCAAGGTTTATAAGGGAGCAGCAGAAAAAAAGTTCTCAAGTCAAAATGAACTTGGACCTGCTTTAATTAAATGCCTCTTAGCATTGTGTTGAAACAGATGAAGATTTTGTTACAAAATCAAAAAACACGCAATTCTCTAATCTTGTTTTTGTTACCAGCTTCCCACTGACCTACTTTTAAATTGAGCTAAAAATGCGGCCTCCCCAGCTACCCTTCCTTCCTGACCCCTTTCCTCCTGACCTCTGTGCCTCTTCTCCCTTCCAGTTCTGTCTTCCATGGGCTTCTTCTCCTCCTACTTATCTCTGGGAGGGTCTCAAAGCTGGTCTTCATGTCCTCTTCCTCCTTCTCCCTGCTGATGAGAACCCCAACCTTGTGGCTTCCCTGTGTATCTCCAGAAGGGAGATGCCCAAATCTCTAGCCATGAATCTTGCGGATCGTCCAATCATCTGAGACCAAAGGGACCACTGGTCCCCCTTTGCTGGGACAACCTCCACGTATGCTTGTTGCTGCAGCTTATTATTAATAGTGCAGTGGGCACTGTGGCTCACACCTGTAATCCCAGCACTTTGGGAGGCTGAGGTGGGAGGCTCACATAAGGTCAGGAGTTTGAGACCAGCCTGGCCAACACGGTGAAACCCAGTCTCTACTAAAAATACAAAAAGTAGCCAGGCATGATGGTGCATGCCTGTGATCCCATGTACTCAGGAGGCTGAGGCAAGAGGATTGCTTGAACCTGGGAGACAGAGGTTGCAGTGAGCCAAGATTGCACCACTGCACTCCAGCATGGGCAACAAAGCAAGAACTTGTCTCAAAAAAAAAAATAAAATAGTGCCCACTTTCACTCTCACAAGGGTCTTGGACAATATATTATTTAGTCATTCTTCTAAAGAGCAGGATTTTTCCCCTGAATATTTACTTGATCCAACATTTCCTCCCTCAGCTACTTCTTTTTCTGAAGCTCTGGCCTTCTTCCCAGCATTTGCATTTCTGTCAGTGCTTCTGATGCTCTTCCATCTTCCAGAGCCTGGAAGCCCCAGCCGGCATCCTGTTGACTCCTCCTTCCCATCTCAGCCACGCAGAATGGCAACACCAAGGTCAAAGGAACTGGACACCACTCCTGACTGCATCACTTACCAGCTCTGTGCCCCTGTTCACCTCCGATCTCTGCCTGAGCGCTGTCATTTGTAAAACAGTGAGAACAATACACTCCTTGAACAGTGTCACCGGAAGCATAAATGAGGCAGCTTCTGAAGGGTCACTGGGCACAGTGCCTAACACAACAAATCGGACTGCTTCTTATTCATGCATTCATTCAACACATTTGTTGAGCATCTACTGTATGCCAGACATTGTTCTAGGTCCTGGGGATACATCCATAAGCAAGATCAAAAATATCTGTTCTCACAGAGCTCACAACCCAGTGCAGAAATCTGGCAATAAACAAATAAAGAGCTCCTATGTCAGGTAGTGATAAGGGCTGAGAAGAGAAAGCCAGGCTTGTCTGGGAGTGTTGAGGTAGAGAAGGGCTGCTATTTTAAAAGGGTGGCTGAGGAAGTTGTCACTAATAAGATGACATTGAAGCAGACACTTAAAGGAGAAAAAAGGTAAAGGAATTATCTTGGAAGATATTTATTTGTTTATTTTGAGACAGAATCTTACTCCGTTCACCCAGGCTGGAGTGCTGTAGCATAATCTCAGCTCATTGCAACCTCTGCCTCCTGGGTTCGAACAATTCTCATCCCTCAGCCTCCTGAGTAACTGGGACTATAGGCATGCATCCACCACACCTGTTTAATTTTTGTATTCCTTTTGTGAGATGGAGTCTTGCTCTGTCGCTGGGCTAGAGTGCAGTGGCACACTATCTCGGCTCACTGCAACCTCCACCTCCCGAGTTCAAGCAATTCCCCTGCTTCAGCCTCCGGAATAGCTGTGATTACAGGTATGTGCCACCACGCCTGGATAATTTTTTTTTGTATTTTAGTAGAGACAGGGTTTCACCATGTTGGCCAGGATAGTCTCAATCTCCTGACCTCATGATCCACCCACCTCAGCCTCCCAAAGTGCTAGAATTGCAGGCATGAGCCACCACACTCAGCCTAGGCAGATAGGAAGAACAGGCATAGGCAAGTTTCCTGAGGACGTCCTGATGTGTTGGAGGAAGTCAGGGATAGCAGCTTCATGGAGTGGGGCGGGTACCTAGTAGGAGATGAAGCCAGAGGAAGCAGGATTCACACGCAGGCCTCGTAGATCCCAGCAGAGTGTTCAGCTTGCCCACAGAGTGCAGGAGGAGAACTGCCAGACTACAAAGGAGTACATGTGAAGAAATTAGACCTCAGAGCAAGGCCAGAGGCAGAGAGCTTAGGGGAACGTTGCTGTTATCCACACAAGAAGTGACAGTCACCTGGACCAGGTGGCAGCAGTAGAGGAGGTAAGAAGTAGACAGCTTCCCTTTGAAGTCTCTCCAATTTCCTACCGCGTTTCCCTCTCACAGCCCCGGTCCTGTACTTGGCCTTCATCACCTTACCCCTGAATTGTTACACTAGCCCCCTCACTCCCTCACTGGTGCTCACTGGACTGCCTGCTGCCCTGGCTCTTCTCCCACCTTCATCACATTACTCCCCTGCTCAGAAAATATGACTGTGCCCAGCCCCTCATCCAAGTCCAACTTCCTCTCCCTGGCTCTCAAAGCCTTCCACTGAGTTCTACATACTTCATGTTCTTCTGACCGTAAACCAGTTCCTACCAGCACTCCGGCAGCAATTCAGACAGTAACCAGCTTACTTAATGACCAAGAGATCTACTCTTCTATACCCAATCCAAAATTAACCGGATAGTTCTTTTAATTGGGTCATAGCATCAGAGTTCCATTACAAAAACAATAACAATTAACATTGATTAAATGCTTACTAAGTGCCAGACTCTAATCTAAGAACTTTACAAACAGTGTCCACTCCAATTGTACAACATCCCTATGCAGTGGGTACTAGTATTATCCCAAACTTTACAGATGAGGAAACTGAGGCGGAGAAAGGTTAAGTAAATTGCCCAACATCACATAGCCAGGGGCAGTGGGGAGGAGCTGGGATTTGAATCTAGAAAGTCTCTACCCCATAGACAGCACTCTTTCTTAGCCGTGGCACTCCACTGCCTCCAGTACTTGGACCCCATTTCTCAGGTTTCTCCATGTGAATCATTAACTTGTAAGTTGTGTTTACAACAAAACTCTCATTACTGTCCCCCAAGCTTTTTTTTTTTCAGATGGAGTTTCACTCTTGTTGCCCAGGCTGGAGTGCAATGGCGCGATCCTGGCTCATCCCAACCTCCGCCTCCCCAGTTCAAGCGATTCTTCTGCCTCAACCACCCTAGTAGCTAGGATCACAGGCATGGACTACTGTGCCTGGCTAGTGTTTTGTATTTTTTAGCAGAGATGGAGTTTTTCCATGTGTGTCAGGCTGGTCTCGAACTCCCAATCTCAGGTGATCCACCCATCTCAGCCTTCCAAATCACTGGGATGATAGGTGTGAGCCACTGTGCCCAGCCTCCCCCAAGCTTTTGCTAAGCATTTTATCTTCTTCCTATCTCTACCATGCCAAATCCCATCCAGCATTCAAGGTGTAACTCAACTTCCTCATTTTCCACAAAACTTGAATCTCTGTTCTTCCATCTATTTGAAAGCCACTGCAAATCACTATGTTTGATTTTTTTTTTCATGTATCTTCCCAACTATACTGGATGCTGCTTATGTGAAGTAACCATAAATTATGTTTCTTTTTATATCTCTACAATATGTAAAGCAATCCTGGGCCATTCCGTTCAACAGACATTTTAAAAAAAAGCCTACAGTGAGCTAGCTCCTGTGTGGGTTCCAAAACACAGTGAAGACAGGACTCAAAAATACCTGTGGACTGGATGTGGTGGCTCGCACCCATAAACCCAGCACTTTGGGAGGCTGAGGTGGGAGCATCTGTTGAGGCCAGGAGTTCACGACCAGCCTGGGCAACATAGAGAGATCCCTATCTCTAAAAAAAAGTTTTGAAAAATTAGCTGGGCATAGTGGCACATGCCTGTAGTACCAGCTACTAGAGAGGCTGAAGTGGGAGAATCACTTGAGTCCAGAAGGTTGAGGCAGCAGTGAGCTATGAGCACACCACTGCATTCCAGTCCATATAACAGAGCAAGACCCTATCTCTAAAAAACAAGAAGAAAAGAAAAAATACTTGTAGATCAAATGAGAAGATCCAGGGAAATGCCTGTTGAAACATCATAATTATCTATTTTAATTAACCTTTTTCATATAAATGCTGTCAGTGACACTGCATACGCAAACATATGATTTTCATGTCATTTCAGTATAAATTCACTGGGCATCTACTTTGTGCTTGTTGCAAAAAGGAATGAGACAAAAGCCCTGCCATCAGAGAATCCTCAGTCTGTGTTACCATATGTCTTTGGGCATGGTTGGAGATCAAGACTAGAAAAGCCACTAAAATCTACTTAGGTGAAAGAGAACAGAAGGAAACGTCACAGAACTCAACTGCAGAAAGAACAGTAGGCCTGTGGGTGATTGGAACAGAAAATAACCAAAGATGTTACCTTCTTCATTGCCACGTTATCTCTTCCTCTGCTTCTATCATTTTATATTTCTCTCTTTCCCCCACCTTTTCTCCCTCCCCATCCAACCCATTCCCAGATTGCCTTCCTTTGCTCTCCTATTAGACCATCCACCATGGCTTACATTGGATGGTACTCTCAGCTTCCAACAAGTGCTGGCGACCATTCAGGTCCAGCATTACTGTCTGTTAACTTGACTCTCTCCATTCTAATCCCGAGTGTCCAGCAGGAAACTTCAAGGGGACTACCATGGACAGGTTTCCAACCCTAGCCCAAACAGCTATGCTGGGGAAAGGATGGCCAAGGTCATGTTGAATGGTGCACAAGGGACCGCTCTTTCTGGGGCTGGACTCAAAGGTGTGGGATGATGGCTTTTGTAAAACATAATGTGATAGGACTGGTCGCAGTGACTGACGCCTGTAATCCTAGCACTTTGGGAGGCCGAGGTGGGTGGATTGCTTGAGGTCAGAAGTTCAAGACCCGCCTGACCAACATGGTGAAACCCCATCTCTACTAAAAATACAAAAATTAGCGAGGCGTGGAGGCATGTACCTGTAATCTCAGCTACTTGGGAGGCTGAGGCAGGAGAATGGCTTGAAGCCAGGAGGCAGAGGTTGCAGTGAGCTGAGATCACGCCACTGGACTCCAGCCTAAGCAACAGAGCAAGACTCTATCTCAAAAATATATATATATATGTAAAATGTAGTAAATGGTCCAATAGTTGTTCTACAGTACATACGCCTCAGATTCACATTTTTCAGACTTCACAAAGTCATAGAATTTTAGAAATGTAAGGAATTCCAGGAATCATTTGACAAAATCCCCACACTTCAGCTCATTGTAAACCAAAGCCCGAGAGCAGATAAGGGTGAATCCCATACTCTCTGACTCCTAGTTTACTCCAACATTTACCAAACCAGCAGCATTTTAAGAGCACCTTTGACGTGTAGATGACTGAAGATAGTCCATACTGCATCGTAGCATGTGGATTTGTTTGTCTTTTTTAGTATAATTTCTGAACCTACTAAGAACTTTCACATATATCATCCTATCTAGTCCTCGCAGCAATCATGAAAAGAACTAAGCCTATTTTGTAGATAATAAACTGAGACGCAAAGAAGTCAACAGACTTGCCCACACTTTACCGTTCATATTGGGCGAAGCCACGAATTCAGCCCATACTATTTTACTTCAGACCTTGCTCTTTCTGCTTTGCCACGCTGCCTTCACTCTCTGAGAAGAAATGAAGTGTCAAACTGTATTTTTGAGTTTTCTTCTATTTGTTATGATTATTTATTTAGTTAGTTATAGATTTATTTGAGACAGAGGCTTGCTCTACCACCCAGGCTAGGGTACAGTGGCACAATATCGGCTCACTGCAACCTCTGCCTCCTGGGTTCAAGCAATTTTCCTGCCTCAGGCTCCCACGTAGCTGGGATTACAGGCACCTGCCACCATCCCCACTAATTTTTGTATTTTTAGTAGAGATGGTGTTTCACAGTGCTAGCCAGTCTGGTCTGGAACTCCTGACTTCATGGCATCTGCCTGCCTTGGCCTCCCAAAGTGCTGGGACTACACGCATGAGTCACCGGGTCCAACCTGTTATGTTTCAACATCTTAAAAATCTAGCTGAGGAGAGATTGCCCCTTTCAGGTTAGCCAGTTCTTAGAAATAGCAATGGGCTCATGGAGAATGCCTTTGATATGCAAACTAACCAGTCCAGAGCCATACCTCCTCTACCAGGCGGAAATATTCCACGGCCTTAATCATCCCAGGGACACATACCAGGCAACCAAAGACCACTCCTATAGCCCAAAGCTTACAGGAATTATTCAAACTAGCCAATTCTAACCAGTTTACTCTGCCCTGCCTTTCCCATGGAAACCCCAGTAAATATGCCTCCTCTTCCAGACCCTCTGGGGAATGAACTTTTTTTTCCTGAGCCTCTGCTTTGTGGCCACACCCCACTGACCATCACATAAAAGTACACCGAACACAATAACCAAAAAAAGGATTGGAAAAGCAGACTGACAAGTTCAGAGGGTCCTTTAGTAATGTTCAAGGAATTAGCATGTGCAATAGAGGAGTAGTCACACCATCAGGCGCTCAAACCATAAATACGATATTCTCAATCCCAGCAAGCATGGCTTCTGGCACTTCGTGTCAGCACTCTTGTCTGTAACACAGCAAAAGGGACAGGAACGTTTTTCAATGCACAGATCAATCCAATTGGTTTGGAGAGAAAAGCTGGTTCTTATTTAAGATGGTTTAGCAGCAGTGATTCATTCTATCAAAGGCATCACTACTATCTTTGATGCAGATACTATCAGCCCAAGCCCTTTGCAATCAATCCTGAGACGTATGATTTGTTTAGCCTAGTGAAATTCTTCACAATTCTCTAACAACTTCAAATACTTCTGATAACTTGACCCCGCATTCCTTGGACCAAAAAGCATCAAGGCACAAATGTCTGAATCCCAGAATGGTTCCAAAGAGTAGTACTTCAAAGAACTCTGCACACGGCAATTTCTTAGTATACTTTTACTACTTATTGGCTTTAGTTTCTTTGCCATGGTGGAGATTTATTACCCTTGAACCTGTAAAGCTGAACTCAGATCAATTGTATGCTCTGGTTTCAAGAAATCCTGATAAGGTCTCTCAACAACATAAGTAGGGATAGGGTGACTAACCTCGTTTATCCAGGCCTGGAAAAGTACAAGGAATGTGGGACTTTCAGCTTTAAAACCAGGAAAGTACCTGCCAAAACAGGGCAAGCTGGTCACCCTAATCTAGAGATTTAAGAAAAATTAAATCTTTTGCCTTATTAAACTTTAAGAGGTGTCTTAGAACTAAATGCCTTCATGATGCAGGTTGCTAATGGCTCTTTAATATCTTTAAGCAGCATATTTTCTACAGGTTTGCAGGAAAATCAAAGTATAAATGTGTGACAATAAATACAATAGATCAAACAGTGATTCTTAATACCTCCAAAAGTAGATGAAATACATCAAGCAAATGAAGAGCAAAACTGACACAGGCGACTTTACATACTCATTTCAATATGTAAAGGCCCACCAGGGACTTCTATATAAAAGTGAGTGTTTAGCAGTCAACAGGGGAGTCTTTGATTCACTGCCACTTAACAATGGGAAGTGCCAGTTTTAATTCTCCCAAAGGTGGGGAGCAGGGCCTTCAGTCCCACTCTCCTGGTTCCAACTCTTACCTCTACCTATGTCCAGCAGTGTTGGAATGGGCAGCCCAAAATAATGTGCACATTAATTAAATCTTCAATAAGGATGGGAGGGAGGGAGGCTACTGAGAGCCGGGATTGCTTTAATCCTTTCTAGGGAATATGAAGAGTTAAGAGATTTACCAATCTAGCCGCTAAAAAAAAAAAATCCCTCAAGACTCAGCCTTACAGTGCTAATTGATTGATGTCATTTAGAAGTAATCTAATAATGTTGAATAATTTATTTGAAAATGACAGATGTTGAAAATATAGAGTCATACTAATCTGGGTCTAGCAGAGAATACATTCATGATTATCATATATAATTTCATGTCAGGATTGAGTTTTTACATTTTAAACAATCTTCGGATATCTCATTTTAGTGCTTATATTAAAGTAAATTTAGGAAAAAGGTAATTTTGAGCCAGTGGATAAAACTGGATCACAAATTTGTCATTCCTCAAATGTATGCCAGCTGCTGTGCTAGGTGGCAGGAGACATGGTGGAGAACCATGTCTTTGGAGAGAAATGGTCCTTGCCCTCACTGAGTTTCCATTCTAGCGGACAAAACTGACAATAAATAAGTACACAAATAGGTAAAATAATTATAGATGATGATTAACAAAGTTAACAGTAAATCTGCTTTCAGCTTTCCCATCACTTTATGCATAGCTCTGTTTTGTTTTGTTTTGTTTTGTGAGATGAGGCCTCACTCTGTGGCACAGGCTGGCGTGCACTGGAATGATCTCGGCTCACTGCAACCTCTCCCATTCTGGTTCAAGCAATTCTCCTGCCTCAGCTTCCTGGGTAGCTGGGATTACAGATGTGCATCACCATGCCATGCTAATTTTTGTATTTTTAGTAGAGACGGAGTTTTGCCACATTGGCCAGGCTGGTCACAAACTCCTGACCTCAGGTGATCCGCCCACCTTGGCCTCCCAAAGTGCCAGGATTACAGGTGCAAGCCACCGCACCTGACCTATCCATAGCTCTTTGAACCATTCACAACAACCTATGAAACTTCAGTTTCGTATATAAATACATATATCTTCATGAAGAAGAATGATTTAACATTACATAATTTTCCCACCAGAAGAACTAAACTATTCACCTTAGCCTATTAAAAGAATTTTATTACTCTTTTGTGTGTTTTATTGAATATTTCTAAAGCCCTGAAAACAATTTACATCAAAATGCAAGACCTTACAAGTAAGTTCAGTTTCTGCTATTGCTGAGGCCCCTTTCCTTCCTAATAAGATTAACACATGTTCCTTCTGGTTACTAGAACAAACAGAAGACTAAGGAAGAAAATCATGTTCCATCTCTGTAAGTATAACCAGTGCTAGCATACAGGAGAAGGGGCATGGATGAGAAAGCTACTTTAAGAATGCAAAATAGCCAGGCTTAGTGGCTCACACCTGTAATCCCAGCACTTTAGGAGGCTGAAGTGGGTGGATCACTTGAGGCCAGGAGTTCAAAACCAGCCTGGGCAACATGGTGAGACCTCGTCTCTATTAAAAATATAAAAATTAGCCAAGCATGGTGGCAGGCACCTGTAATCCCATCTACTTAGGAGGCTGAAGCAGGAGACTCGCTTGAACCTGGGAGGTGGAGGTTGCAGTGAACTGAGCTACTCAGGAGGCTGAGGCACAAGAATCGCTTACACCTAAGAGACGGAGGTTTCAGTGAGCCAAGATTGTGCCACTGCACTTCAGCCTGGTCGACAGAGTGAAACTCTGTCTCAGTAAATAAATAAGAATGCAAAATGGCTCAATCTTCTTCTCCAGCCAGGAGAGTCTTAGTATGGCCACCCTCCACCTCCCCTTGCCTCCATACCTCCCTCTCCTCTGCAGACTAGCTGTGGGTTCCCTCCCAGTTTCCCTGTGAGCCTCCTCCAATAAATCTAGTCTTCAAATCAGACTCAAACTCACTCAAGCCAATGAGTGATTGATGACAGCAAGGGTATTACTATTTAATAAGGATGAAGGTCTTTAAGAAGTGAAACTCTTAAGACTAGGGCCTGCAGATCCAGTGAGTGATAGTGGGTAGTGTATATTAGCCAGCCCTAAGGAGATCCTGCCTACAGATTTGCAGTCTTCTTGTCCAAAGCCAGCTAGCACATAGGGTGCTGGCTGCTTCCGATGCAACTTCATTGCTTTTCACGATGGTCATGATTTACTATAAAGTAATGCTGTTTCCGATACATGATGGAGTAGCACCTAGAACATCTGCTCAACTAAAAAACAACAACAAAATCACTATAGGTACACTCAATCCATCCTGGCTTATCTTCTTCTTCTTTTTTTGTTGTTACTTGTTTTTTGAGACAAAGTCTCAGTCTGTTGCCTAGGCTGGAGTACAATGATGTGATCTCGACTCACTGCAACCTCTGCCTCCCAGATTCAAGCAGTTCTCCTGCCTCAGCCTCCCGAGTAGCTGGGATGAAAGGTGTGTGCCACCAAACCCGGATAATTTTTGTGTTTTTAGTAGAGATGGGTTTTCACCATGTTGGCCAGGCTGGTCTTCAACTACTGACCTTGTGATCTGCCCACCTCGGCCTCCCAAAGTGCTGGGATTATAGGCATGAGCCACCGTGCCTGGCCAAGGGTTATCTTCTTTAATAGTTTTTCAATATCCTGAAATATCCTCCATCTATTGCATTATTTAAATTTCTGTGTGTGACATTTGTCTCTCCAGCTACAGCAGGGACTTTCTTTTAAATCAGCACATAGAAAATATTGAGAGATAGTCTCTTGACTATTAAGTATAAATTAATCTTTCCAGGACTCATTTCAAATGTTTTGTCCTGAATGTTTTTCATGTTATTATTAATAACAACGGCAATTGTGTTTATGGGGCATTTGCCATGTACCAGGTGCTCTTCCTTAAATTATTTCTCATGCTCACAACAGCCTCCACATTAGTTATTATTCCCTCTCTTTCTGTAGTTGAAGAAACCACCTGAGGTCACACAATTGCAGAGAAACTCTCCAGCATTTGTCTACCTCTTTTACAAAAGATGTGAAGGGAGTTTATCAAGGTTTTTGCTCCTGAAAAGGTATTGGAAAGGCAGGAAAAATACCGTATGTCCTGGCAATTCTATAGAATACACTAGGGCACAAGGTTAAGAGATAGGCAACTTTTAAAGCCTCTGTGTTTTTTGTGGGATATTTATGAGTCTGGAGGTGAGTCAAGAACAAAACAGAGTTACAGAGTTTAAGAACTATAATCAACACTATGGGACTCAGCAGAAACAGCCTGAACCAAGGAAAGAGCATTCCAATTTAGACTCGCAGGTAATAATAGAGCAACCAACTGGCTGCCAACCACAGATTTAAAGCATGTGATGTCAGGACCAACCCTCCTTGGCAAATTCAACCTTGTTCCAGAGTAATTTCTAAGTGTTCCTGCTTTATTGGGTAGTATTATTAACCTTGCTTTCATGGGATAAACCAGGGTTTCAGTCAGAGGAGGTCTGGGGGCGGCTTAAGTATGGTTCTTCACTCCATTCCTCCCTCCCACTCTCTCTCCAACACCCTGCCTGAGCATCAGCCTGAGAATAGTCCTAACTACCATCTGTAGACTTCACCGCAATCTACAAAGTCTTTTCACATACCTTATTCAGATAACCTTGTGAAACTGGCGCTATTAGTAGCCCCTTCCTAAACAGGAAGATGGCACAGAGACAAGTTATGGCTTACTCCAAATCATGCTGCCAAGAAGGATCAGAGCCAGAAGTGGATCCAAGTTTTCTGGGTCTTCTGATTCAAAAAGAGACCAAATGAAAGCCTGCCAAAGAAAAGGTAGCACATGGTTATCCGTTGCTCCACCCCACCCCTCTGACATTAGGATTAAAATTCATAATAATTTGTTGGATTTAATGGTGTCCTACCATTCATTCTACCCATCTCCAGCAAAAACACGCCTCAGTCCCATGGAGGTTTCCCTTTAACATCTTTAGTTTAATTTCACTCATGGGCATTTGTAGAGAGCATTGCTATCCAGCAGTTTCTATTTTCCCCCTGACGTTTATAGACAATACACATGAGTATTACTAAGTATTAGATGCGTACATGAGAGAATAAATCTTCCTACATGTCCTGTGGATGCCTGAAATGGATTCTCACTGCTTAGTTATAAACTTCCAAGCTTTTATAAAACACATATACACTGAGAATTTAGTCTCTACACTATGGGCGATAGTAGTCATTCTTACTATTGATACAGAAGCTCATTCTCGGTGAAAACAGGTTCCATTCACCTGAAGTGAAAGGAAGAGAAGAATTTGAAATTTCTGCAACTACGATTTAAACTGATGAACAGTTACTCAAGAACCAATTATTCAGTTTGTGGATTTTCTCTGTTCCTCCCTCTTACTGTCTGCTGGGCATTTTTCACTATTCACCATCACCTCCTGCAGAGGGTGTTAGAGAAAAAGAGGGGAGGCGAGATTCAAAATAAAATTCCAATAAATTATCATCAAGCACCTACTTTATGCCAGATGCTGAGATAGGTTCCGGGAGCCCTAAATGAGTAATCACTGGCCCCTGTGCTTGAATTGCTATCAAAAATGCAACATTAAAGATATGCATAAAATACTACAAATTCCTGGTAAAAGAGTAATTCACCCGAAAAGGATGGGAGGAGGCGAAGACAAGAGGAAAAAAAAGTGATATTTCCACTGGAACTTGAAGAAGTTGAAGTCCAGGAGGAAACCGATGAATGGGGAAGAGAAGATAGGATGTGGGGAAAACAGCAGGGGTGTGGGCAGTGGGGTTCAGAAGTGGGAAGGTTTCACAAAGGGTGGTATGGGTGGTGATCATACATCCTGGTTTGCCTGAGTCAGTCCTAATTTATGGTCACTATGTCAGCATAATTAATATAGCACCTCCTTTTACTTTCAAAAGTATCCTAGTTTGGTTAATAAATTATATAGCCATCTGTGTCAATCTGAGTCACATATGTCATCACTCTCCCTTCCTTTATTCATCGAAGACATTATTAAATTGTCATAGTACATTCCTGGCTAGGCCTGGACTTGTCTTCAAAATCCTACTGAAAATATCACTTCAGGCAGTATCACAGATTAGAATTGGACCTACATATGTTTTCCAAGCTGTGGGCCAGAGAGGTTGCAAAATGGCAACACACAGGCTACATCTGAACTGCATTTGCATTTTATTTGACCTGCACAGGGTTTTTTGCAATTCTGAGCCAGTGTTTACTATCATGAGGTTTAACTCAGAAATTATATTTCTGATTTTATTTGAGAAATGGGAAAATCCAATAACACAAGACCTGTATTTTACCATAGTGGAACAATTGGCCAAAGCTAAATAGCAAATATTTCCCTTTTGTCCAGCCTTGGAGGCTGTTGTTATCAGCCTCCAAGATGGTCTCCGCTGATCCTCACTTCCTCTCATGCTGTATCAGGTTTAGTATGTTTGGCTAATGGAATACAACGGTAGTGATGTTATTCCACTTCCCAGGCTAGCTGTCATTCTGCCTTCCTTAGATTACTTGCTCTGGAGGAAAACAGCTGACATGTTGTGAGGAAAGGCCCACATGGTGAGAAACTGAAGCTTCCAGCAATAGCCATGGGAGTGAGTCTTTTTGAAGCAGAACTTCCAGCTCTATTCTAGTATTCAGATGATTGAAGCCCCCATCAACATCTTGACTGCAAACTCATGGAAGACCTGAGCCAGAACCACTCACCTAAGCTGCTCCCAGGTTCCTGACCCTCAGAAACCATATAAGAAATGAGCATTTGTTGTTTTAAGCCACTAAGTTTTGGGGCAATTTGTTACACAGCAGTAGATAACTAATACACCAACAAAATTGATTTTCTTATGATCTACTTTCCTCTATCAATTAATTTACCTACCTGGCTGTGAAGACAGTTGAAGTTACATCCTGGCTTTACAGAAATAAATATTGTTGATGGTTTTAAGTAAGAAAGTGAGAAGGTCAGATCTGGCTTTAGATGTATCAACTGGCATCTGTGAGAAGAAGAAGTAAGAGGGAGGCTGAAGATCAGTTTATTTCCTGAAAAATTCATAAATAGACCTTGCAGTGTAGTGCAAGGGGGATGTGATATAGAACCATGTCTAAAAGAGTAAGCTTAGACCCTAGGTCAGACTACATAATAAGTTCAAATCCCCATATCACCACTGAAGGATCAAATTTAGTAAGTTACTTAGTCTTTTATTTTCTTATCTGAAACATGGGATTAGGAATGCTTACAGCTGCAAGTAACTAAACACCCATCTAATCATAGCTTAAATAAATAGTTTATTTTTCCCCTAGAACTGAAAGTACAGACATACTTTCTTCTCTTCCTTTTCACTTCAGGTGAATGAAACCTGTTTTCACTGAGAATGAGCTTCTGTCTTGATAGTAAGAATGACTACTATTGCCCATGGTGTCAAGACTAAATTCTCAGTGTATGTATGCTGGGAATGATTCAACTGTTCAACAATGCCACCAGGATTCCAGGTTCTCTCTACCTTTCAACTCTGCCTTTCTTAGCAGTTTGGCTCATTGCCTTGTGTTTCTAAGGTGGCTGCTGTAGCTCCAGCCATCACATTTCTGTCTTAGGTCAAAGACTTAAGACAGAAAGAAGGAGGGGCAGGTCTAGAACTTTAATCTAGTTATGTGTGTCTGATTTTATCAGGAAAGAAAAAAGCTTCCCAGAAGCTCCCAGTAGACTTCTGCTTACATCTCATTGGCTAGAATTAGATCACAGAGCCTTATTAGCAATAATGGAGACTGGGATCATGAGTATTTAGTTGAATATATTGATACCCCAAGCAAAACTGGGTTCTGTCGGTAAGCAAGAAAAGAAGAGAATAAATATTAGGTATTCAATTGCCCTGAGTGATACAATTGACTTCAGAATATTGATATAGGGGTTAAAGTAAGCTGATACATGCTTTAGGCTAACAGTGTTTGTCATGGAATTAAGTGTTCAATAGATGTTAGCTGTTAAAATTGCAATAATTTAGGCACAGAATATCCATCCTGGACTAGGACATGGTAGAGGGAATAATTTTGAGACTAAAAGGCTTGAAAAGAAAGACAGATAAAATTATTGGCAAGAAAATAATTTTGGTTTTTAACTGTTTTTTATTACCTTTCTTTCTCCTTTGTCTTATAGCCACAGAAGTGCTCTATCACATTATCATCTTTTTTCTAATTATTTTATAATTGTGTATCTTTTGTTAGAATTTAAGTACTTTATTATTTTAAAAATCTAACTAAAGGAAATATAAACTTTGAGTTCCTTAATCTACTCAGTTAAAAAACCTCCTACAGTAACTAACTCCACATTCCAGTGAGTAGCCTGCACAATTATATAATGATATAATACAGAGCACTGTGACCTACTCTTCAGAAGATACTTGTTTTAGACATAACTCACCTATGTGAAGAAGTAGCAATATTGCCTATGGTCATGCTAAAATTAATTGCAATATTGAAGTCATGTGACATTAAATGTTTCTAGAACTTGCAGGCAGCACAGCTCCCAGAAACCCAATTGCACATTGCTGAATGTGTCTCAAGGCACTTTCAGGTAGATTGGATAATGGGTGGACCCATCACATACTTTTCAACCATGAGGAGTGATTCAGGGGCCAGGATTTAGAAACCGTGAGCAGCTGTGTAATTGCATGGTGTTAAGAACAAGAGCAGTGAATGGTGTGGGACATAGGTTTAAAAGAAAAGGAAGGTTCTGATTGTATTCTCAAAATAATTGAAAGCAGGGTCTCAAAGAGATATTTGTATGCCCATGTTCATAACAGCATTATTCACAGTCGCAAAAGAGTGGAAGCAACCCAAATGTCAATTGACAAATGAATGGATAAGCAAATATGATATACATGGATGAAACTGGAGCATATTAAGCTAAGGGAAATAAGCCAATCACAAAAAGTTACCGTATGATTCCCCTGATATGAGGTACCCGGAATAGTCAAGTTCATAGAGACAGAAAGTAGAATGGTGGTAGCCGGGAGATGGACAGTTACTGTTAATGAGTACAGAGTTCCAATTGGGAAAAATGAAAAAATTCTGGAGGGGGACAACAGTAGTGGATAACAGCAATTTAAATGTAGTTAATGCCACAGAACTGCACACTTGAAAATGATTACAATGGTAAATGTTATGAGTCTTTTACCAGAATAAAAAAAATTTAAAGAATTAAAAAAGGAAGAAAAAGAACTGGAATGTAATATCCTCACTTCACAAATTTAGTAGCCACTTTCCACTACTCACAAAGTCCTCTAAAAGTCTGCTTATTAAGGTAAAAAGAAGGGAACAAAATTGGGAAAGAGCTTTCCTCACTCATCCTAAATATGAGCAACTTCGTTTAGTCATTCTGTATTTTTTTATTTTGTTTTTTGTTTGTTAGAATCTCTCTGTGTCGCCCAGGCTAGAGTACAGTGGCATGATCTTGGCTCACTGCAGCCTCTACCTCCTGGGTACAAGTGATTCTCCTTCCTCAGCCTCTGCAGTAGTTGGGATTACAGGTATGCCATCACGTCTGGCCAATTTTTGTATTTTTAGTAGACCTAGGGTTTCACCATGTTTGCTAGGCTGGTCTCAAACTCCTGGCCTCAGGCAATCTGCCTGCCTTGGCCTCCCAAAGTGCTGGGATTACAGGCATGAGCCACTGTACCTGGCCAATAAATATGTATTACATTTGTAATCAGAGGGAGGACAAGGAAAGAATATTACAAAACTGGGCGGCAAAGGAAGAAGTGGCATAAATTCGTCTTCATCTCTGACCC